CTCCGTCGTGTGTGTGTGTGTGTGTGTGTGTGTGTGTGTGTGTGTGTGTGAATCCTCCCCTTGTGCGTGTGCATCCTCCGTGTGCATGTGTATCCTATGTGTACGTGGGTCTCCTCTGCGTGCATGAGCATGTGCATCCTGTGTGTGTATCCTCCACGTCCATGTGTGCGAGTGCATCCTCCGTGTGTGTGCGTGTGCATCCTCCTCGCGGGGGGTGTGAGGAGTGGCTCTGCCTGTGGGCGTGCAGCGCTGGTGCTCCTTTCCCGTCGCTCTCCCTGGGGCCCTGTCCCCCGCGCAGGGGCTGACGTCCCCAGCGGCCGGGGCTCTGTTTCTGCACTGGCTGAATGGGCCAGGCAGGGTCTCGTGGGCGGTGGTGCTCAGAGCCAGCAATGGCGCATGGAGCCCCTCTTGCATCCATGTGTGATGCTAGCCGGACACCTCGGAGCTTTGTGGGGCCCCTGCTGATATGTAGGGGGAGGGCTGGGCATATCTGAACTAGGGGATTGAGGGACCCCCAATCCCGTGACATCATGGGGAGTCAATTGGGGACATTTACAGCTGTTATTTCTGCTGGTTGTGTTTGCACCCCATCTCTCAGCACACTCTACACCCATGTGCACACACAGCCACCCCATTGTCCCCAAGGCACCTCGGCCTCCCCACACACCATCCCAACATGCCCCATGTGCACTTCCGTCCGCCTGTCTGAACACACACAGCAATTAGGAACCCCACTGTTCCCCAACACCTGTACACGAGTGCGCACACCTGTCCACTGTTCCCCAGCACCCGTACACCAGTGCGCACACCCGTCCACTGTTCCCCAAAACCAGTACGCACACCTGTCCACTGTTCCAACACCCGTACACCAGTGCACACACCCGTCCCCTGTTCCCCAATACCTGTACACCAGTGTGCACACCTGCCCACTGCTCCCCAACACCAGTGCGCACACCTGTCCACTGTTCCACCACCCGTACACCAGTGCACACACCCGTCCCCTGTTCCCCAATACCTGTACAATAAAGGAGAAT